GGACCAGATGGATTCACAGCAGAATTCTACCAGACATTCAAAGAAGAATTGGTACCAATCTTTTGACACTATTCCACAAGACAGAGAAAGAAGAAACCCTCCCTAATTTATTCTATGCAGCCAGCATCACCCTAATACCAAAACCAGGAAAGGACATAATCAAAAAAGAAACTACAGACCAATATGCTTGATAAACATAGATGCTAAAATTCTTAACAAAATATGGACTAACTGAATCCAACAACATATCAAAAAGATAATCCACCATGATCAAATAAGTTTCATACCAGGGATGCAGGGATGGTTTAACATATGCAAGTCAATAAATGTGATATACCACATGAAGAGAATTAAAAATAAAAATCACATGATAACCTCAATAGATGCAGAAAAAGCATTCGACAAAATCCAGCATCCTTTTATGGTTAAAACTCTCATCCCTCAATGTAATAAAAGCCATCTATGAAAAACCCACAGGCAACATAATACTGAATAGGGAAAAGTTGAAAGCATTCCCTGTGAGAACTGGAACAAGACAAGGATGCCCACTCTCACCACTCCTCTTCACATAGCACTGGAAGTCCTAGCCAGAGCAACTAGACAAGAGAAAGAAATAAAAGGCATCTAAATTGGTAAAGAGGAAGTAACACTGTCACTGTTTTTGCTAACAATATGATTGTTTTTCTTGAAAACCCTGGAGACTCCTTCATAAAGCTCCTAGAACTGATAAAAGAATTCAGCAAGGTTTCTGGATACAAGATTAATGTACACAAATCAGTAGCTCTGCTACATACCAACAGCGACCAAGCTAAGAATCAAATAGAAAATGCAACCCACTTTACAATGGCTGCAAAAGAAATTAAAATACTTAGGAATATACCTAACCAAGGAGTCAAAAAACCTCTACAAGGAAAACTACAAAACGCGGCTGAAAGAAATCACAGACGACACAAACAAATGGAAACACTTCCCATGCTCATGGATGGGTAGAATCAATATTGTGAAAATGACCACACTGCCAAAAGCAGTCTACGAATTCAATGCAATCCCCATCAAAATACCACCATCACTCTTCACATAATTAGAAAAAAAATTCTAAAATTCATATGGAACCAAAAAAGAGCCTGCATAGCCAAAACAAGACTAAGCAAAAAGAACAAATCTGGAGGCATCACACTACCTGATTTCACACTATATTATAAGGCAATGGTCACCAAAACAGCATGGTACTGGTATAAAAATAGGCACATAGACCAATGGAACAGAGAAGAGAACCCAGAAATAAATCCAAATACTTACAGCCAAATGATCTTCGACAAAGCAAGCAAAAAACATAAAGTGAGGAAAAGGACACCCTATTCAACAAATAGTACTGGGATAATTGGCAAGCCACATGTAGGAGAATGAAACGGGATCCTCGTCTCTCACCCTATACACAAATCAACTCAAGACTGATTAAAGATTTAAATCTGAGATCTGAAACGGTAAACATTCTAGAAGATAACATTGGAAAAAACACTGTAGACATTGGCCTAGATTTTGTGACAAAGAACCCAAAAGCAAATTCAATAAAAATAAAGATAAATAGTTGAGACTTAATTAAACTAAAGAGCTTTTGCATGGTAAAAGGAACAGTCAGCTGAATGAACAGAAAACCCACAGAGTGGGAGAAAATCTTCACAGTCTATACATCTGACAAAGGACTAATATCCAGAATGTACAATGAACTCAATCAAATCAGTAAGAAAAATACAAACAGGCCATCAAAAAGTGGGTTAATGACATGAATAGACAGTACTCAAATGAAGATACACAAAGGGCCAAGAAACATACGAAAAAATGCTCAGCATCACTAATGATCAGGGAAATGCAAATCAAAACCAGTAAGGTAAGCAATACTACCTTACTTCTGCAAGAATGGCCATAATCAAAAAATCAAAACACAGTAGATGGTGGAGTGGATGCAGTGAACAGGGAACACTTCTACACTGCTGGTGGGAATGTAAACTAGTACAACCACTATGGAAAACAGTGTAGAGATTCCTTAAAGAACTAATAGTAGAACTACCATTTGATCCAGCAATCCTCTGGGTATTCATCCAGAGGAAAAGAAGTCATTATATGAAAAAGATACTTGCACATGCATGTTTATAGCAGCAGAATTTGCAATTGCAGAATCATGCAACCAACCCAAATGCCTATCAATCAAAGAATGGATAAAGAAATTGTGGTGTATATTTCTATGATGGAATATTCATCAGCCATAAAAAGAAATGAATTAGTGGCATTTGCAGTAACCTGGATGAGACTGGAGACTATTATTCTATATGAAGTAACTCAGGAATGGAAAACCAAACATCATATGTGTTCACTGATAAGTGGGAGCTAAGCTATGAAGATGGAAAAGCATAAGAACGATACAATGGACTTTGGGGACTTGGTCGTGGGGGAGGTTGGGAGTGGGGTGAGGGATAAAAGACTACAAATATGATGCAGTGTATACTGCTTGGGTGATGGGTGTACCAAAGTCTCACCAATTACCACTAAAGAACTTGCGCATGTAATCAAATATCACCTGTACCCCAATCATTTGTGGAAAAAAAGAAATGGCTATAAAGCACCAGGAAAAAATAAATAAAAATTTACTTATAAAAAATAACTTCACGAGAACAAATCAGTCATACACTTGAATAATGGCACTTATGAGTAGACTGCCTTGTGCCTAGTATGCTTATATGTGTCCACTGATTCACTTCTGTCCATCTTCTCACTGAACAAAGTAGGAGAGAGATACATACATGCTTTTATTTTTTTGAGACAGGGTCTCACTCTGTTGCCTACGCTGGAGTGAAGTGGTGTAATCTCGGTTCGTTGTAGCCTCAAACTCCTGGGCTCAAATGATCCTCCTGTCTTAGCCCCCAGGTGGCTAGGACTACAGGCATGGCACCACGGCCAGCTAATTTTTGTATTTTTTTGTAGAGACGTTTCACCATGTTGTCCAGACTGGTCTCGAACTCCTGAACTAAAGTGAGTTGCCCACCTTAGCATACATACTTTGGACAATCTTATTTAAAATAATTTTCTTGAGGGAATGGAAACATTTAGCTATAAATTAAAATATCCATTCAGCAGAATCATTTGGGTTGTCTTTCACACACTTTACTTTTAAGACATAAGCAATATCTTATGTGTGCCATGCTAATTTTCCCACTTTGAGCATTTGCTGAGTGATACATTATTATTTTTTGGGGGGAAGTTTTTCTCAGGGTTCTAATACTCAGTGCTAAACTCTTGAAAAGTTAAAACAAAGATTACTTAGGGTCTGCCTTTTAAAACAGAAGTATGCAATAAAAAAGGAATTTCATCTCAGAATAGCCAGGAGAACAGTAAAGGCTGCACAGAAACTGCATGAAGTGAGGCGTGAAGAGAAGCTATTTCAGGCCTTTTGACTTGAGGGCAGATACATATGCATTCAAACTAAAAGATTTCTTCAGGTGTAGAGATTTTTAACAATAGGAGCTGATGATCAATGTAGGGAAAAAAGCATGCTTTATTACCTTTTTTGGGCCAGACCAACTTGACCTTTCATTTTCCATGTAGTCTTCAAATAAATACATATATTCCATTTTTTGTCTTCCACATCCCCTAACAATTATTTTGATTTCCATGATTTGAGTGGCTTTCTGAAAAGCTTTTATGAAGAGTAGAAAGGAATTGGGAACCATGTTGTTGAATGAGTGATAGAAATATTCAATGGCCATGTACAAAGTAATAAAAGAATATTGATCTGGTCACTTAAAAATCTAACCCCATTCCATGTTTCTGGTCATTAACCATCAGTATTGTGGCTGCCTATCTATGACAGCTTTTTTTCCCTCATCAAATATAGCACGATTTCTCTAGGCAAGACATCGTATTTTTTACCACTTTTTGATACAATATCAGCTATAATATTGATGGTGCAAAAGTCCTTTCATAATAAACTTTAATATATTAGTCAAAGGAGTATTTGATCAGATACAAACAACATTGCTTATACTTAATTAGTTTTAAATGCCTAAAAATAGAACATGTGCACTCATGTAAACAACATATTATTATTATTTTATTATTATTATTTTTTGAGACAGAGTCTTGCTCTGTCACCCAGGCCGGAGTGCGGTGGTGCAATCTTGGCTCACCGCAACTTCTGCCTCCCAGGTTCAGGCAATTCTCCTGCCTCAGCCTCCCAAGTAGCTGGGATTACAGGTGTGTGCCACCATGCCCAGTTAATTTTTATATTTTTAGTAGAGACGGAGTTTCACCATGTTGGCCAGGCTGGTCTTGAGATCCTGACCTCAGGTGATCTGCTCGCCTCCCAAAGTGCTAGGATTACAGGCATGAGCCACCGCGCCCGGCCAACAATATATTATTCTTAAGATATGTTTTGTGACTAAGAAGGATACCGTCAGAGCAGGCAAGCATTTGTCTTATCTAAATTTGCCTCAGGGTTCCTCAGCTTTGGGTGCAGAGAAGCAGTCAATGTGAGTGAGCTGGAGAAATTAAAGTGAAATGAGAGCTAAGGAGAAAAGATAGATATTAACTGTGAAGACAGACTTAGGGAAGGGGGTGAAGAAACAGTGAACAGAGTAGATTGAAAAGAAATGGAGTACAGCAATGGGTAGACAGGCTTGGAATGGTGAAGCTATGGCTCAGAGGAATTTTTAGGACCTATGTGAGTATACTTTTACATGAAGAGAATATGGATGATCACTGTGTACCTTGTTTAGCCTTTATAGAAGGTACAGGATTTCATATACATTCATTAGCTGCATTTCTGAGGTCACAATACAACCTAGGGAGCATTTTAATTAAGTCTTTATAAAACATAGATAGCAATGTTGCATGCAATGATATGTTATGATTTTGAATATGAGGTTAAATGACTGAAAATACCATCTCAGAAGTTCTTGGTAATTTGAATTAAATAATTAATACTTATAAAGTATTTAAATACTTACCCAACAGACAGGAAAGGTTCCTTTGATTCAAGTCTATGAAAAAATATGAAAATTTTCTTTTAACATAACAATTTGCTGTATATTCAAAAATGGCTTTTACATGCACCTGACAAAATTATACTTTTTTGGATGAAAATCCATAATGTACCACCAGTAAAAAGCTATAAATAATACATTAAGACCTAATCTGGACTAAGTAAATTTGCAGCTGGATTAATGCAGAAGCTACATAAAATGAGAGAGTCTTGGAATGAGGACATAACATTTAACTGATATATTAAGATGATCATAGTATTAGTCTAATTCTGATTGCACTCTCTGTGTCTACTCATTTTCTTTATTCATGGTAATGTGTTTGTAGAAGTTTCTATATATCTATTTGTGGTGGTTGTAATAGTGAAATAATTTATAATGTACTTGTTACATGTTAGCCGAATAACTGATTTACTCCGAAGAGAAGCAGCATACCATATATAGTTATTTATTGGTCTTAATACTGCTTAGGGCTGGGGTATTTGGATTCTTCAGCCTCCTTTGTGTCTTCTAAAAACTGGGTATTTTCTGTACCTCAGTATATCAAAGGGAAAGTCTAATCCTGAAGGTTGTGGTTCATTTGAGAAAGCCACTTTAAAACATATTCTGTGTCTTATTTTTTTCATTATAAAATGGGCTAGGCTTCTTCCAGCTACTTTTCTAACTTCATAAATTAACTTTCCATTTTTTTTTTTACAAAATGTAAGTAAATCAGGAAATAATCCACTTCTAAATAGTTCCTAGATAATAATTAAGGAAACCTGTTGGTAAATGTATTTTGGCCACACTAGTTTCATTATAGGTTTCTTAAGATACAATTAAGGGTTAAATGTAGGCAAACTGAAGATATTTTTAACTAAATCCTGGTGTTTAAGATTTTTAAGAAGCACAGTTGAAATGACTATCTTAGAATTAGGCTAAAAATTTATTTTTATATATGTGAGTCTAAACAATGAAGGCAATAATTACTTTTTTGTCTCTATTTCATTCTGTGTTTGTAAAAAAATTGCTTATGAGAAATAGGCCTTGGTGCATTTATAGGCAGAGCTGACATGCATCTCTACCATATACCATGCTGCTTTGGGTGAATCATAATAGCAGGAAAGGGACATTTTTAGGGGGCAAGTGCCTTAGCAATCCTTTTGGACAGCTCTAGGTAGGGTAGAAGCAGATAAAACCAATAGTTGGTGCTAAGAGTTTGGAGAGGTTTATTTATGCAACCTTTCCTTTTCTGAATTCCAGTATTATTCACATCTCTAACTGTAGGTACATTAATTGCCTTGTGTTTGTTTTTCTCATACATTTGTGATCTACATAAGCAAACAGAACTAGAGAGGGAAAAGCTGAAGATAAGTAATGAAAAATGTTTGGATATATTTGCTTTATAAGACATGACCAGTGCCATGTGATCAAAAGGAAATTACCTTGAACAAATGAGGGGGATTCTATATAATATGATGCAGGAGATTGTTCACATATTTTGACCATCAACACCATAATGATACTACTTTATTTTCCACCTGATAATACTTGAAATAAAGATAGCATGTGGGCATTAATGGGATCCCTTCTCTCTGTATTTGCCAATAATTTCAGCCTACCATTTATCAGACATTAGTGTATGTGTGTGATTTGCTTCTGTGAAGTGCTACCCTCCAGCCTCCTATGTTCCCCATTTTCTACACACTACATCGTCCCCCTTGCCTCTCACTGCTATGTGATTCTTAGTGGCACTGAATAATGTAATGAGACTATTTTAAAACATTTTATATCTTTCTCCTTTCTCTTTTTTCAGCCACCATGTCTCAGTAGTTAGCAAGTCCCATCAGTTTTTCCTTTGGGACTCTCATGTCCTCTGCATTCCATTCCCAGGCTGGTTTTCATTAGTTGCCCCAGCCTAGTTAGTCTCTCCAGAATTCTTTGTTCAAAGTCTCTTCAACTTTACACACTGCTCTCACACTAAGCTTCCATCAATGCTGCCAGTCACTCCCTTTGGACAAGTACTGCATTGTACCACTTTAGGGTGGCATAAGCAACTTGAATAAAAGCAAAGCCCACCACTTTTGATTTTCCCTCTGCAATTATCAAAATACTGAGTTCAGAATTTTTTTTTTTTTGAAGGTTTCAGACAAGCAACTGTTGGATTAGAGCATACAGGGACACATGTTGGTTGTCCTACTGCCCCCTGTGGTTAGTATGATTAGTCTGACTAAGTTATTAATAGTTATCCCTTTCTCCTACCACTTCAAGCCCACTTCAGCCAGCTCCTTCCAAATGCTCAAGAGAAGTCTTCAGAAGAAAATTCAAGTTTTCAAAATATTGTTGGATTGAAAGTTCTGATGATGTTCTACAAACCAAGAGTTTGCAAACTGTGGCCAAATCCTTTTCTCCTTCTGATTATGTATAGTCCCAAGCTAAGAATGGATTTTACATTTTAAAGTAGCTAGAAAATATCAAAAGAAGAGTAATATTTTGTGACACATGAAAATTACATGAAATTCAAACTTCAGTGTCCATAGGTAAAGCTTACTGAAACAGAGCCATGTGACTTCATTAACATATTGTTTAAGGTTGCTTTGTGCTATGGCAACAAGTTGAGTAGTTGTGGCAGAAACTGCATGTCCAAAATCCTAAAATATTTACTATCTGGCCTTTACAGAAAAAGTATGCCAGTGTGTGAGATATTATTTTGTTGGAAGGAACTGGAAACAACCTCCTAAAATAGGCTTTCTTTACTTTTAATACATATCAAGATATTTTACCAGATTTAGAAATTCAGAATAATTTGAATTCCTTCTGTACATCACCATTTCAACCTCTGATCCTACCAACATATTCTCCTGAAATGTTTTTATGTCATCACGTTTCTTGATTTCATTAATCATAAGATGGTACCCAAACTTTTAAGATCTTCACAAACATGCCCTCACCAGTTTTCCATGATGTTTTTTATTGCTTCTCTTACTAAACACTTCATTCCAGAAAAGCTAAGTATTGTCCAGACACGTCTGATTTGGCTTTGCTTTGGTATACTTAGCATTATATTTCTATACCAGATACTGTTTTTTCCCATGCATGATCTATTTATCATTTACATTTATCTCAATCTAACTCCTTCTTAAAGCTGATCCTGAAACCTTCATTTTACAGGGACAAGTCCATCTCTGGGGTGATACTTATCATCACCATCACTATGACACATTCTCTGAACAATATTAGTCAATTAAAAACTGAACTTAGAGTCTCAATAAGACTGGTAAGAATATTAAACCTGTACTATGTTTAGACAAGAGACTTCCAACAGTTTTGTGTTAAGTCTCCTGGTGGGACTAGAGGGGAGGATGTTGCTGATGGTTCATGAACTGAGCCAAAATAAAAGATTATTGGTCATTGGCTCCTCCAAGCCATAGATGATAAGTCCAAGGTACCAGGACTCCCAAGTGTCTTCTGTGGTAAAATAGGGCAGGAAATCTTGGTGGGTGCCACCATCAGGCCATTCTACCTTTTGTCTCATCCTCAAAACGATGACACACTGCAGAGTGGAGAGACAACTGTCCTTTGTTGAATGATGTTCTGCTTTGAAACCAACTGCTCAGTTGTTGTTCACTACACTGAGGCAACTTCCCTAGGCTTGAGATGATTCAGGGACTCTGACTAACCTCATTTTTCTCAATTATATAGCAAACATCATAGCCAACTCAAGGAGTTTGGGGAAGAATATGAGATTTTCTATTTAGAGCATCTAGCACAGTTCCTGGCAGAGTGGATCCTGATGGTCGCGACCATACCAAGAACAGGTTGTTAACTCTAAAGTCTGAAACTGCTTGGAATGTATGAATAGAACATTTTAGTAGTGTTGGTCCTGAAAAATGAAAAAAAAAGGTAAAAGAAAGAAACTTCTAGGAGAAATATTCCTTTGTAGAAAATTATTTATCAATTTAATCTGTAGAAACAGATGATTACATTGTGATATGCCTAGAGAGAACTTTTCTAAGATTTTTTTTTACAAGGTAATTGTTTCATGAAGAAAGGGATTGATTTTTATTTTTCCTAAGATTTACTTTTCATGTGAAATAGGTAGTGAATTTAATAATACTTCATTTAGGACCCACTAGAATTAGGAGTAGAATAAGAAGAACAAATGACAGGCTTCAGAAAAATAAGACATAGTGGAGAAATAAAATAGAACACAGAATGAAGGTCAATATTTGGAGCTAAATGAACTATAATACTTTTTATTTAATAAAAACTAAATTGTATTTACTGAATGCCAGGTATTATTCGACATTCTTTATAAACACTAATTTATTTAAACATCATGATACAATCTGAGGTAGTTCTCATTTTATAGATGAGGAAACTGAGACCAAAACATATTAAGTACCTTGTACAAAGTCACACAGCTCATAAGTGGTTGAGCTAGGATTTGAATTCAGACATTCTGACTCCAAAGTTCATGTGTCATCTATTTTAGTTGTTTTGCTTTGTTTACATGTGCCTCAAGGTACTGCCACATTGTCTCTCTTTATACTTCTATGCTCTATTGAGAAAGTTCATCTGGATTCAGATGTTGGAAATTCCAAAACTTACATCTCTGGCATCATTCTATTTATGATAGGTGGCTATAGCTGCTCACAAAATATCTCTAATTGTAGATGCCTCTAAGCTAACATATCTCAAACTAAATTTACTCTCTTCCTCCCTTATTTTGCTCTTCCTTGTTTTTCCCTAACTTGGAAAACTCAGACACTTAGGTGACCAAACTAGAAAGACTGGAGTCATTCTCATGAACTCCTTTCCAACAACCTTTCTAGTTCTGCTGTTTCTGTTGCCAAAAGTCCTCTTGATTCTATACTTGCCTCTCAATTCTGATTTTCACAGTACAAGTGATCATCCAGTTTTATATGATCCACTAATCTCTTCAATGACCTCCCTTCTTATTTCTTTGGTATTTCCATATCTACTAACAGAATGAAATTGCTAAAATAAAATATAATCGT